TGTGGCTCCCACGGTTGCTAAGCAACAGTGACAAGAAGCCTGCCTCTTCGATTATGTGTGTGCACACTGGTTTTGTGTTTTATAGCATATCCAGTCCAAACAATGACTCATTCAACCAGCCGTCAAAATTTCCACCACTGTCAAAATCTGTGTCAATTACAAACAGCACGAGTGTTTTATCAGTTTATTTACTTTACAAGGATGATCTAAAAGGATTTCACTGATCCTCCCTCCGAACCAGTTTGTTCTTTCCTAGGATTTTAAGGTTTTCTGTCTATATCTATACTGTCAGAATATGATCATGGAAAAAATGTCCAAAACATGAAGAGATCGGTCCCAGAAATGCAGACACATTTTTGGTCAGTAAAAAAAAGCCATTAACTGCCACCAGCAGTCCAATTTTAACTCAGCTTTTGGCTTTAAGCTTTTTCAAGGTACAAGGTAGATTTATTCATCATTTTACAACACAGGGTGGTATAACAAGATTAAGTTGTAGTTTCATTCATGCTGCTCACAAAAAGCAAATCTTATATACAAAAATTACATGCAGCAAATGGGTGGATAAATAACATGTCATATAGATAAAACTATTTTGCATGGTGCAGAGCTGAGGGTTAATTTTAGGAGTCTCACAGCCTGGGGAAGCCTGAGTTCAAAGAATATGGTCTCATCAACTGCAGTCATGAAAATATCAGCAACTATTGAATGGATTGCCATGACTTTCGTGTCTCCCACAGGAGAACTTGTAAACTAAGATTGTGAACATGTTAAACAACAACATGTTAGTACTGTGATTGTGCATTTGTTAGCATGCTGGTGTGTTAGCATTTAGCTCAAAGCACAACTGTGTCTAATTACAGCCTCACAGATTAGTCTTGTTTATTGTTCTTCTACAAAACTGACCCACAAGCAGTTATCTTTGGGAAGATTTTACTATGGTGATACTGTACTAGCAAAGATGCAGAAACAAAGTGAGATGTATCTCCACATTGCTTTGTAACTTCATGATCAAAAGTGTTTAGTAAATTAAAGTTTGGTCCATAATTGCAATCAATCGAAGCAGCACAAATGTGCCTCTTCTAAGCTACAAACTTGCTCAACAACTCACCTTTAAAATTCTCCCGCTCACCTTCTCTACATCAAACAATGATGAGTTTGCAGTGTCCTTCAGGAATAGCAAACAAACATCAGGTTGAATAACCAGCTGTTTGTAAGCTTCTGTCTGGGAGCCCTTTGCTTCTACAGGAAAATACTTTGAGCCACTTTACTGCTGCAGAAGAAATAAAAGTATTGCAGCTTAAACCCTGCAACAGCTGTACTGGATCCCATCCCAAATACTTTTTAAAGGTTATCCAGTTGACTATAGAGGATGAAGTACCAGCTATTTCCCTCACTGGCATCTTTTCCATGGTACAGAGAACTGCTATTGTGAAACCTCTCGTATATGTGTAACCTATAGACAACAATTTAGTTTGGCATTTATGCACACCACAGCACTGAGACAGCACTTAAGCTGTAAAAATGACAATGGGATAAGTGCATTTATTATTTTTAGCACTTTTAGACTCAGGAATGGCTTTGAGATTCTCAAAAAAAAAAGCATACCTGTGTTCACCATACCTGTGGCTCCAATCCCTTTGAAGTTGAGTTTGTAAATCTTTAGCCTCAAAAATTGAAATCTCAGTCTCAGGATACATTAATTCTGCTCTTTCTCACTTGGCTTAAATGACTGGATCATTGATTTTATCATTAATCATTGCTCCTTCTCTAAATACTGATCAAACCAAGCTGGTGGATGCAGCCATCAGACCTGCAGATGAGCCCTTCATTCTTTGCCTACAGCTCTTGAGGGAATGATTGGTCAGCCTGACATTTAGCTGTAATTGAATTGCATTCTGCCCCCTTGTGGACGTTGATGTGTAGTCAGGGGAGGTTAGGCAGTTTGATGGTCAACTAATCACAAATGATGAGTCACGGCGGAGTCATTTTCCTAAACCCTGTTACCAATAGTTGATTAATGTGTGCAAATCTTGCCAAACATGCACAAAGACACATTTCATGGTCTATAAGAGGTAAGAGTTGGATCAAATACTATAATCTCCTTTGCCCTAGATGTGGAGATCAATCTGATTCTGTCTTATTAGGACAGTCATTAATTTAACATAAAAAGAAAGCTGGCAATCTATGAATATATCTGTTCATTTACTCTGCACAAAATTAAAACCATTCATCACCCTGCACTGTTTAGCTTTTTCCACTCAGTCACAACCGAGCCAACAAACAGCAGTGAAATTAAAGAGCGTTAAAGTATTAATCTTTTCAAATTGGTTTTTTAATAGCAGTTGAGGTGACGAGGCTACATTAGCACTACTGATGAGAAGGGCTGAGAGATGAGCTCTTCAGGTTGAGTAGACTATCACCATCTCTGTGGTCTCTTGTCTAAATGTGCTAAAGTGAGATAAAATGGCTGCTTGACTCAACATGGCGTGGGTGTGTTTCACTGAACCCTAGATAAGCGTTTGCCATACTGTCTTTACAGGACGCTAGACAACATGGTGATTGTTTTTTCACACGTTTTATCTAAATTCATCTACTGACATGTCACTGTAGTTTTATCCATGTGAAGTCTTTTTGTGGAATAAAACAGCTGAAGAGGGTTTTTTTTACTGTAACTGAAAGTTATAGTGTGTGAGGGGTAGGATGATTGAGAAACTGCTCCTCCGTGATATAAAAAGCCTAATAAAAATGAAAATGATATGTAAAGACCATGACTGATTTATTCTATTTATAAGAACAGTATGTTCAACTGGCAAGGAGAGTAACATAAGCAGCTTTATCCAGACACTGCCTGCCACATTCAAAATGTAGGATCTCTAATCCTACATTTTCACCCAGCACCAAGACTCTATAATATAATATAATGTGTGGTTTTTGAAATTCATGTATAGCATCAGTAGTCAGTATCTTTAATTTTCATGTATAAAATATATAATTTCCTCCAAAAATCAACTATTATCAGATGGCAATGCACAAATTGTACCAATCATGTAACACTAAAACTCTCCACTGAAACACAAACTGGCAGGATCATTTTGTTGTTTTTAAACCTGGACCACATAATTTCACAGAATTTGGTGTCTAAAAACTATTAGGTACAAAAAGTTTTGGAATAAATGCAGTAGATTTTTTGCCACTGGAAACAAGGCTCAGACTGGAAACAAGGGGGAGGAATTTGGCAGAGGAACTGCTAGCAAGACTTTACTTCCTAATGATACTCCAACACAACAAACTCCTCTCTCCAACTCTATCACACGTTTCCACCGGCGGCTGTCACCAAGAATCACTTATAGTGATCCTTTCTATGATGTTTTCAGACACCTCACATAACAGTCTGAGCCCGTCAGTGGCAAAAATAAGCACTTTCTGTGGACGTAATTTTGATAGGCGCAATTGCCCCAAAGGAATATGTTGCAACCAGTGCAGCAGTTCTGTGCCCGCTGGCTGAAGCCATCTATTGCACGGATTCGTTTTGTACCTACTAGTCACTTTGACACCAAAATATGTGAAAATAGGGCCCACGTTTAAAAATAGAAACAAGCTTAAAACAGCTTGACGCACAACCCTTGACAATGCTGTTACAAACACTGTAAAAATTAATGGAGTTTCTTTACAAAAAAGAAAACACTGTTCAACTCAAGATCCACTTATTTGCTTTTTATAGAGTTTTCCAGGTATTGGTTGGTGTTGGTGTTGGAGTTTCCAATGTCAAAAAAAGGGACTTCTAGCAGATTTGCAAATTTGACAAAGGAGTAAATAAAAGCAAAAACTCCAAGACAAAATAGACATGGTGATAAATTCTGATTAGCTCACAGAAATACATAACTTTCCCCCTCACACTTCACTTTCCCACCTCACACAGATCAATGAGAAGAGCTCAGACAAAATCTCACAGACACAAATCTCTCATCTGAAATAAACACAAGTGCTCTAACTTGGGCAGAAATGTGTTCATGTATGACGCTGATTGAGGAAATAGGTTCCACTGGGCCTTTGAAGACAAGAGTCAAGGAGAAGAAAAGCTCAATAAAATTCAGTTCTTGAACAATATTTAAAAACTGATTAAGCCACCCTCAGCTCCTCAGATAGTAATTTTAAAGTGTAGACAGTCTAATGGTATCAAACATTAGCTATTAGAAGCAGTAATAAACAATGACCCTTTAAAAGCCATATTGTAAAGCTGTTATGTGCTGTGATGTCCTATAATAAAAGACAGTTTAAAGGAGAGTTAGGGTCACTTTGGATCAATAAGACTTGGAACCAGAGCCGGACTCATAATTCTACCACGGCCTCAGGATGTCACTAAATCTTAGTTTGACACACAAGACTTTCCCAGGAGTATTTTCTCTAATGATCAGCATGATATGACACAAAAAAGGTGATAGCATGCTGTGTGTGTATGTGTATGTTTGTGTGTGTCTATAACTCTCACCTCTGGGGCCCAAACTGCAGCACTCAAACAAAGTGGTGTTGTCACCGCTATAAGCTGACGTGTCACATCTTCAGGGAGCTGCTTCATCACCTGTGACACAAAAAAACTGGCTGAGGCGTCTCTGTGGACACGCTGCTGTATTGTGTCACTGTGATACATTAGCTGGTCACTTCTGCTTTGTGAGGACGCCCAGTGAACACCTGCACTCCCAGTTTGGGTGTAACACAGTAAGCAGTCAAGGAATATCCACTTACGTCATGCATTCATGTGTTTGCAATTATAACTTAAAAGACCGGGTAAAACTTCAGACAAAACATAGAAGCATTAAGGTAAAACCATATAGGGCCTAACATTTAAAGTGTATTGGTGCAAAAAGTTCAATACAGTATCTGAGTATGTTCTAACAAATGTCATATAGAAGAGTAAAAAGATACAAGATAAATTCTACTAACAACTTACACACTTAAACACATACATATACACAGAGTTATGTGTGTACAAAGTTCAGACAAGAGTCTACAACCATGCTAGCAGCTTGTGGGACAGTAGGCACCACAATTATTTTAGATAAAAGTTTAATGTTAAGTATAATGTTATGCTAAACTAAACAATGTGTTATTTAAAGAGTAACATGGTTTGCTGGTTAGCTAACAAGTTTGGTATGTTAGCATGCTAACATTTGCTAATTAGCACTGAACACAAAGCACTGCCGAGGCTGATGTGAATGGCATTGGCTTTGTAAGTATTGGATTCATTAAAATTCATCGTCTGAGAACCATGAATGTCTGTAAAATTTCATGGCAATCCATCCAATAGTTGTTAAGATTTTTCAGTCTTAATCTAACTAAAATGGTGGCCCAACCTCTAGCATGGCTAAATATTATATAATGTGACGATGTAACTAGGTTTGTTTGTGTTCTTTTGTTAACCAAGGTGTGTGTTGAGTGCTGAGTAGGTGTAGGGTGTTCATTGTCTGACACTTTAATCATTATAGTTTTTGCCTCACAAATGCAGCTGTTTGTTTGATTAAAGCAGATGAAGTCAGGCCATTAAAAGTCTTCTGTCAAAGCTTTGGCGAAAACTGTGTAAACTGTGATGAATAATTCAAAGACAACTATCATTTTACTTCAGATAAGCTTGCTAGGTTGCCATGGTAGTAATGCATGTATTATTTACTGGCAGTGTGAGTCTGATTATAAGGCAGCTTACAGGCTCTCAGTTGTTTTTAGATCTGTTCAAACTGTGAGGATTAAACGTGGTAGTAATCCATGGACAAATAATGTGTCTGAGCTGCATGTCTACCTCCGAATGAGACGCAAGGAGCTACACTGCAGTGTTGTGGACCATGTAATGTGGCAGAGGGTTTGCAATGGAGGGGACAATGCTGACGGCAGGACAGGAGAAGCCACAGAAGCGGGTGAGGTTCCGCGTGGCTTCCGGGAACAGCGGGCGGGTGCTGAAGGAGATGTTCAAGGATGAGGGGCCTTCAGACTCCCTGGATTCAGACTGCACCAGCAGCTCTGACGCCGAACGGGCCAGCACCCCCTCTACAAGTGGGGATGTACATGGACACCTGTATGGATACCTGGGCTCTGAGCTGGATGACAGTGAGTGTGAGCCTGATGATCTGCTCATGTATGCAGGGGCCACCAAGGACTGGATGTTCACCACCAAGAGGGTCAACATACTCAGTAAAAATGGGACCGTGAGAGGGGTCAAGCACAAAGTCAGTGCAGGTCAGACGCTGTTTGAAAACCTTCCCAACTCCAACAGTGTAAGTACATCTGACAAGAGTTTTATGTTATTCTTAATTCCCATTATTGCTTCAATAGTTATAACACAACTTCCCAATACTGTTGCCTGTGTCCTCAAGTCTAGTTACAGGTAAAAGCTAAATGTAGGTGTGCAGCTGGGATAAAAGCTCACAATAGAGGACAAGGTCACAATGTAATTAAAGATTAATGATGCATTTCGTTAACTAATCAAGTTAATGAATTCCCAGCACTTCGCTTTCTAGGATCCCTGCACAAAGAAGTATTTGTTATTCTGAGGTAACTCTTGAGAGGATGAGCACATTTAAAGGATGAAAACCTATAGTATACTTATTGAAAGCTATACAAATCATACATAATTTATAAGATGGTTGAAACATGCACTTTCTTATAAGGCCCCTTTTATAAATGGATTCTAAGGCATAATCTCCCAATGCCCAAACACAGGTCTGGAGGAAGGGTTTAGTTTCCGTATTTGGGGTGGCATTTGGTTAAACCCTCGCTTCACCTTGACAAACTACATTGTTTAAAAGTACAAAGCCTCACAAGTCTAATAATCTAACGCATTTGGAAATATTATTGTATTGAAATTATACTACTGAATTATACTATTGTGTTAGTATTGATTCCATTATAATCCTTTTATATATTAGTGTGAGAGGCTTTTCAGAGGGTCAGATCTAAATTACATATACTGAAATTTTATATCATAATCTACACAATTTGAGCCTCGTGGATAAAACCAAAACTTAATCATGTAACAACACGGAGAATTCTTCCCTGTTAGATGGAGTTATCTCTTGAATTTGGGCGGATAGTGATCTACACTACGAGTTTCCGTGTGGTGAGGACAACCTTTGAGCGCTGTGAGCTGGTCCGGAAGATCTTCCAGAACCACAGGGTGAAGTTTGTGGAGAAGAACATCGCGCTGGACTGCGAGTACGGGAAGGAGTTGGAGGAGCGGTGCAAACGTGTGGGAGAACCTCCTTCCTTACCAGTTGTGTTTGTCGCAGGACACTACCTTGGGGTCAGTCCTTGTTCCTCCTTTCCAATGATATCTGACGTCAATATCTTGTACATCCACACAGAGTTCATTAAATATTTAGTCATGGCGTTAAACTTGTTTTGCAGGGTGCTGAGAAAATACTCGGAATGAATGAGTCAGGAGAGCTTCAAGATCTTCTCACAAAAATTGAGGTTGGTTTTCAGTGTTGGCTTTGGAAATCACATTATGAATAATTGATGGTGGTCAAATGGGTGATTTTCCTGTGAATCAGGTTGAGTCAACCACTTGACTTGACACATATTGATGTTGAATTATTCACATGTTTTCTATTGGCTTAACAATGTTATATATGCTTTGTAGCACATGTAATATAAAAGGTAATTATACAGTCATAATAAATTAATGCTTTGTGTTTGTCCAAAGTCATTGAGATGAACATGGTACAAACAGGAGCAGTCATTCCCCCTCACTGGTAATGGCATCAATAAAATATGAGCAAACTGCAGTGTAGAAGATGCATGCACATCAATAAGTGACCATCAATAATGGAGGGCTTTTTATTGATTCTGCTTCCAACACATTTGTTCACACACACCAACGCAGAGCATGTCGCTCTGTGGTACAAACCAAGATTGTGTAAACTATTTCTGTCTCACACTGAGCTGCAGCAATGTCTGACACACAGGCACTGGCCTTTGCTCAGGCCTTCGGTTGTAATTTGGAGTTCAGACCCAAGAAAAGTCTTCATAAGCGAATACAAAGCAGTGTTATGACATTTAAGTCAAGTATTCCAGTCACTGCGGGCTATTAAAAAAGTGTGCAGCTCTGAAAGGTCATGCATACGCTAATCAGTCCAGAATTGGCCGGCAACGTGGCTTTATTGTGTGATTGTGTCTGCATAGGTCATTTGGAAAGGAAGGTGTGATTAAAGGAATAGTTGTGGAATAGTGGAAATACACTTATTTGCTTTCTAGCCGAGTTAGATGGGAAGATTGACACCACTCTCACGTCTGTGTGCTAAATAGCCTACAGCATCAAGCTACAGCCAGCAGACGTCAATTAAACTCAGCATTGAGACTGAAAACAGGAACACACCTAACCTAGCACCACACAGGTCACTAATTACAATGTTATATCTTGTTTGTTTAATCTGGGCAAAAACTGTGTAAAACCGACAAGCGTTTTTTATTGTAGCAAAATTTCCAGGTTGGGGGCAGTGACTCCAGTAAGTCACAGCACCCGGACAAGAAATAGTCTGGCATATTGCTCCCCATAAAACCACACCTCATCAGTTTTACAATTAAATTTTTGTATGGATTTGACAAATAAGATATATTTTGTGCTGGTAGGTGGGTCTTTCTACCTTTGGACAGAGCCTGGCTAGCTGCTTCCACTTGTTTCGAACATGGTAGCAAGTGGTATTGATCTTCTCATCTAACTCTTGACAAAAAAGCAAATAAGAGTAACATGTCTAAATATTCCTTAAAGTTTTTTGTGTCCAATGTATTTAAAACCTTCATTCTCTGAAAATGTGGGAGAAAAAGAAAATTAGATGTCAGTATTTAATGTCAGATATTTTATCTGGAATGTAAAACAAATTGTATGTATCCCTTTTTCTAGAGGGTACAGCTGCCCCAGACGTGCCAGACCTGTGGGGGCTTTGCCTTCGTCCCGTGCCCAATGTGCCATGGCAGCAAGATGTCTGTGTTTCGCAACTGCTTCACGGATTCCTTCAAAGCCCTCAAGTGCACTTCCTGCAACGAGAACGGCCTGCAGCCCTGTGTGAGCTGCAGACAGTGAGGATGTTAAGTGCCTGACCCAACATCCTTGCTTCCTTCTCTGGGACCTCACACAGGACCTTAACAGTGAACTGCAACACAGGCAGTGACATGAAACACAGCAGGACTCTTCTTCCATGGCCATTGTTAGTACAAAAAATGGATTTTGTAATAAAATCTGTGAATTTGGGGATCTGGTGTAGCTGGTCTGGTAAATCTCAAAATAATTCATGGTAAGACTGTGTTGGTGCAAATGTGTTCTGCCTGGGTCTGTAAACATGTCGTGAACTTGTGTCACCTCTGGTTAACTTAAGCTTGTTAGTTAATTAATGGGGAGGCTCATCATTAACAACCCCTCTCATCACTAATCCCATATCAGACAGAGTTAAGGATAAAGGAGACACAGGACAGAGGGAAAGTCGAGGGCTCAGCTTGCAGCCGGTAGAGGGCATGAAACTGGACTGGACACACAGTACACTTAACTAAAACTAATTCACTTTCCAAAATTACCATACAGTTGAATCAACACCTCTCAGTTTCAAGCAAAACTTAACAATATAACCTTCATGAAGGTACGATTTATTGCAGGGCTGTTGTATTAGACTGCATTAGTTTTAGCTATAGGTGTAACAAATAAATATTATACATATAATATTAGTTAGGCAAAACACACTTACACTCAAATAAATCGAGGAAATCAAACACATTCTTCCTTTTTAATATATACCTTATACACAGAATTGTACACAATCTGCAACTATTTTGATAATCGAGTAATCGTTTAAAAATGTTTTCATTCAAAAATGCCCAATATCCCCCAGTTTCAGCCTCTCAAGAGAATAAACTGAATATCTGACACTTTTGGACTTAACAAGACATTTGAAGACAGCACATTTGGCTTCAGGGAATTGTAATTGTAAGAAATTGTGAT